AGGGGCTGGGAGCAACCTGCTCTAGTGGAAGGTGTCCCTGCCCGGGGCAGGGGTTGGAGCTGGATGATCTTAAGGTCCCTTCACACCCAAACCATTCTGGGATTCTGTGATTTGGAGACATGCCAGCGAGATCCCATGTTTTGGAAGCACATCAACTCCTAATCCTTCAAGGTGGGTGGGAAGATGCCACAGGCTGCAGCGCAGGGCTCTGGGTCACTCTGGGCAGCAGACACTTGTGCTGCAGCCCTGCATGCCTGCCCCTGGGGTCCGGGTGCTGCACTCACTCACCAGGGTGCTCTCGAACTCCAGCGTGACGGCACCCAGAGCTTGCTGCAGGATCCCCTTCCGGGAGATGTCCAAGACCAGCCTCTCCGTGGGCACGGACAGTTTGCGGATGTCCCACCACAGCACCTGCAGGGACGAGGAGCAGGACGGGGCTGCAGGGGCTGCTCCTGGCTCGGCTGTGGGCGCTGGGAGCTCCCCCGTGCCAGCCCTTGCTGCCAGCCTGGGGCCTGGCTCTCATGCTGCCGTGGCTGGAGAGGGGCAGGGGAAGCTCTTTTGGGCTGTCAGCGCCTGCCAGGGGGTCCCTGTGTGAGCTCCCTGCCCCTGCCCTTTACCTGCCCATCGGTGGAGGCTGAGAAGCAGTCGGTGCCCGTTTTGGACTGCAACCAGATGGTTCCATACACGGGGTCCCTGTGGCTGACCTCCACGGTGGACACCTCCACGGGCAGCTGCCCTTTCCTGGTGTCCCAGTAAGCTGGGAAGGAAAAGGAGATGTTAAGATCTGCACTATCTCTTGCCTGGCTCCTTTGCTTGCCATGTGTTTCCCAAGGAGATGCTGCCCCACTGCCCAAGCCAGAATGGGAGCAAACCTCACTGGGTGCTCCCCCCCACCCCCCCCCCTCAGAAAGAAAAAACACAATTGGCACCTTCAGCAAACTCCGACCTAGAGGGTGGTAACATCCTAAATAGCATTTCTTCAGCCCTCAGCTCTCTGTGGCAGATGCACGACAATCCCCAGAGGCAATAAATCCCCCCCGGCTCCCCCCTGCTCTGCACAAGGGGTTGTGCAGGGCCAGATGTGGTCTAAGCAGCCCCTTGTCAACTCTAAACAGTGCCTCTTGGACGCGATGATGCTAAAATCTCTCCTGTGTGACCTGATCCTTGCTCTGCTCCCCTCCTGCGCGCCCAAAGGGTGCTGGCTAAGGCAGGCAGGGTCCCCCTGGCCAAGTTT